ATAACTAAACAAAGTTTTAATCAATAAATACCATAATACCATGTCGACAAGACTCGAATCCTACGTACCTTCAAATCCATATCCGCACTGACACCCACTAGACCAACGGCAACGTCTCAACAATTAACTTTACGTTTAATTATAAATAGAAACGTATCACATTATGTTCTGAGGTCGACCACCTCGCCTCGAGGGGTAGATACAAACTTTGATAACTCTTATGAAACTTAAAAATTTATTTCTAAGACAGCTGTCTGTTGGGTCTTGTTCGTAACATGTTTAAATACTGAAAATGAAGTCCTATTGGATAGGTACTTGCACCTTTGAGATATAAAAAATCTATATACATATAGAAGATAGTTATTGTAAAAATATATACGTGAAAAATTGTAATAATATCTAATCAAGAACCCTTAGTAATTTGTGGTAAAGAAAAATCAATACTATCAATATCAAGTTTTTATATTATCCTTGTCTTGAAAATTCTCGATACATAAATGACAATTTCCAATTACACTTGGATCGTAAGTACATCGAAAACAAATATTCTTCTTATACGTATATTACCCAAACCACAATATCTCTTATCAATATCAAAACATCTTACCATAAACTCTTACATCAATAAATTACCCCGAATACTAAGAGTTGCAAGCCTCACCCCACAACAAGGGAAATATATTTCGAATTACTGGCAACACAAATAAATCAGGCACTCGCCGACCGACAATATAATCGCGAACTTAGAAACACGTACTTACTTATGAAACCCCACCACCCCGCGCGCTCCGTTTTGAATTTCGAATAGGTAGGGTTGCTAGCCATGTTTTGTAAGTAACATTTTTTTTTTCAGTTTCCAGAGCATTGTCATGTTGTTTCGTGTCTTGATAAGATCTGATTTACTTTTAATGCGTCAAGACATTACAGCTGAACTCTTCATCATCATCATCAACAGCCGGAAGACGTCCACAGCTGGACAAAGGCCTTCCCCTTAGTCCTCCACGTTGAACGACAACTCGCCACCTGCATCCATTGCCTCCCCGCAACTCTGGCCATGTCGTCGGTCCATCTAGCGGGAGGCCGGCCCACGTCTTCGTCTTCTGGTCCGTGGTCTCCACTCAAGGACTTTTCTGGCTCATCTGCCGTCAGTCCTTCGAGTGTCGTGGCCTGCCCATACCCTTAATACAGCTTAACTCTTAATATACAAGACAGGTGTCATGTGATGTTGGTCGATTGGTTGCAAGCAACAGCAGCAAGACTTCTCGACTTCGATGCTGAGGACAAATAAAGTGTTAACGAATCTTTTTAGGTTTTTCTGTGAGGTAAGTCTTTCTTCTGTTTAAGTCTTCATTGAAAGCTACTATAGCACTACCATGCACTGCTTATCACACTCTCTAAAATAAAAAAAAAGGAAATGTTAAGGAGTCTTTTTGTTTTTCAAAATCATCCAATGACTTCTCTCGAGTTGAGTGAGGCGAGAGGGAGTATCAGACTTAATTTATGTGTGCATGTACTCGCAACACCGTCCATGTCACGAGATATCGTTCATGTCAACGTGTGTGTATTCTGCGTGTAAGTCTATAGTAGCCAGGTGCCACAGTCGTTGTTTCGAGAGACTATGCCCGCCTGTTTTTCAATATCCTTGGTCATGATACATGACACAGTTAGTAAAAGGGTGCTCTTTTATCATAGGTTCACTTTTTGCTACTCCTTTGCGTAGAACATTCTCACAAAGTTAAACTCCACTAAATACGTCGCGGAGAACCTAACGGGTCGCGGAGAACCTAACGGGATACCGGGGCTCTGGCTCGAGAGCGCAAGAGAAGGAACGGGGTGGTTTTTAGTCAGTGAGAGTCTGACACTCCCTCCCGCCTCAGGCGGGAGCAGTCAATCGATGATTTTCCCCGTTTTAAAAAAAAACTCCGCTATATAAAATTTAACATTTGTGATTAACGAATATTATTAAGATTTCTTTTTTTTGATACCTAAGTGAACCTTTTGCTGTAATATCATGTTCTTTCATTAATGCATGTCGTGGCAGCCTTTAATTAAGGCTACAGAGTGTTAAAATATGTTAAAAATCTATCATGTATTTTGGTGTATGCTATGGTGGTTGCCCTTAAATAAATATATAAATCAAAAGTCGTGACGTTTTGATATGTATATCAAATTAACAGTTAATTTAAATCAAATTAAATTAACTGTTTGGTAATATAAGTGTTTAATATTAAGATTGTCATTGTACTGCATGCAACTGATTATGAAAAGCGAGAAATAAAAGGCTATTTTTTTTTAATTATTTATTTTATTTCTAAGCCCCCAGTATCAGCCCTATCTCTAAGCGAGTTGAGAACAAACTTAAATTGAGAATGAAGGAACGACGACGTTCTGTTCTTAAGACACGTTGCTGACGCAGAGTTGCAAGCTCTCGCTGCAAGAAATATTTTATGTATACCAATATAGGGTAGGTAGAGATGTAGGTCTGTAGTCGGTTTTAGTTTTTGGTATGTAGGTTGTGAGTTTAGGTTGGTATTGTATTTTGCTTTTATTAAGAATACTAATTATTGAGAATGTTGTTCTTATAAGCATTATGGTAACTGAAGGACAAGGGGTCTCGGGTTCGATTCCCAGGTCAGGGAAATTATGACTGGGTTCTAAATAAAATCTGAGCAGTAGGACGGAGTCTGGAAATGTGCCCGGTATGTGGCAATAAGCTCACCTCCTATTACATGGGACTCATAACACAAATAGTGAAAAGTGGATGTTACAGTGGCATTAAGTGCCATAATGTGCACCTCTGCCTACCCATTCGGGGATAAAAGGCGTGATGTTATGTATTTTATGTTAACTAGGTTCGTACAGAAGATGCCTGTTTGTTATATCTTGAAAATATGAAGTCATTATTATGCACCAAATGCAATCACAATATTACCTTACTTACCACTAATCCAGTAACAATGGATTCCGTATGTAATCGAGAATTGAACGAATCGAGAGGTTTTCCCTCAATCCGATATTTTTAAAGATCTTTAAACAACACAACATAGTTGCTTACTAAAATTCCACACCGTCCTTTACAAAATCGAACCCATGACACCTACAGTACAGTAACCAACCTCTGAAACAGAGAATCAAAGTAATAACCTTACTAATAAAACCGCAGTTAACGCAAAATACACCCACACACATATATATATATATGTACATAATATACAAGACAAGTGTCACGTTGCTACATATATGTATATTATACAATATATATATACAGTATACACACGTCTTCGCAAGCCGCATGTATACATAAGTATACATGTCGGTATGTACATATTTTAATACATTATCTCGCGGCACGTAAGGAGATGAGAAGCAAGATGGCGGCGCTCGGAACACTTCTTAGAGGCGCGCAGCGTCGGCTGGGGTAGTGTGGAGAGGGTTCGCGATTAATCATTTATTTTGTATGTGGGATTAGATTAATAATCATAAGGTCTGTTGTAATATAACAAGAGGTGTACTCTGTGCTTTTTAATCTTCAAAGAAGTAGACCCTTTATGTAGGTATGTAGTCACCACAATATGTAAGCAATCATAAACAGAAAAAAGTTTTTTAAAGATATAAAATAATAATTCTGTTTGCATTACAAGGAAATGCTTAAAAATTTAGCAAACTCAAGAGTTTCAAGTTTAATAACGAGACTAAAAATCTGTTACCAAGTCGAAACTATATTAAAGCAGCATTGGTGGCGTTGTGTTAAGATTTTTAAATTAACATTTATAAATAAACTAATACCAGAGAAAAAATAGACATTCCTATTTGATGTTAAAGTATTAAAAGACAAAAAGATTTGCTTTCCACTCACCTTCATGTCACAATTCTCAGAATATATTACATCCTTGCTTAAATAATAAAAAACAAACTCCATCTCCACACACTGAAGCAACCACACGAAGTTATTATATCGCTGGTAGTTTTCGCGGGGGGTGGCGCGGTGTGGAGGGGGAGCGGGGGGAGGGGGTGGCGCGCCCCGTGATAACTCGCTACTTCACAGTTTACTTATTTACATAATTACATATAATTTACAACTGTGTGGGGAAAATACCTTATTGAGGACTGGTACCTAATGCTTAACATTTTCTCGAGGCTAAGATTTTCGTGAGCTAAGGTACAAATAAGGGTGGTTTTAGAGTCTCGCTGACCGACGGCGCTGACAGCTGAGAGCCGTGCTCGATAGCTACGCATCCTTCAAAAACGCTTCTTCAAAGTTCATAGTTCTCGCCCATCCAGCGCTGACGGTGCATTTGCTGCCAGCTTCAGACTAAATTTAGCTTAAAGATATTTAGAGTTGCTCCACAAAGAAGATATTTGTCATCATCGGGACGCAGGGACGTTCAAAATAAGGCAGTTAGAAATGATTGAAGCACCAAAATATCAGTAAATATATTTATGTGTGCGTATGTAATGGGTTACCACGTTACCAGACTTTTTTAAGGGGGAAAATCATCGAATGTCTGCTCCCGCCTGGGTGAGGTGGGAGAGTCAGACTCTTACTGACTAAAAATCACCCCGTTCCTTCTCCTGCACGTCGATCCGGAGCCCCGGTTACCCGTTAGGTTCTTCGCGACACGTTACCAGACTTAAGACAATGACAGATGTCCTTCGTGTCAATGTGTGTGTGTGTTCTGCGTGTAACTCTATAGTAGTCAGGTGCAACAGCCGTTGTTTTAAGAGGCTTTTTTCAACGCCCTTAACATAACGTATTTCCTTCAGCTTTCAGACGAGGCAGGTTCAGACTACGACAATTTAACTCTAACGAAAATTGTTCATTCGATATAAACCTTTTTACACTTAAACCAAAAATAGAAAAAACATGAAAAAGTAATTTGGCAGAATCTTTAATTGTCATTCACACAACAATATTTGTGATGAGAAAACTTTTCGATAGTGATATACCGAGTTTTTTAACGATATATCTTGTATGAATTTATTTTTCTATATTTTCACAAATGGAGATTGATGAGACTGCCGTCAGTGGTGATATACAGTCGACTACGGGCCGCCCCACACCGGCTGACTTCGATAAATATTTGCCTTGGGCATGTGCCCAATTGTCAGCAGAAGCTGATGTTGTGGTGATACGGAGCCTTCTCAGTAAGTTGTTATATTGAACTATCTTTGTCAGCCTCTAAAATGTTCCATTCTTTTAATACTAGGTCAACGATTACATCAGTTTTTAAAAGAGTAACGCAAGGAATTTCTGGGTCATTCTTCTACATTCGAATCTACATTTTGGAATGAGCACCTAGCTTCAATGACGGACTGACTGACAGACTATTATTTATTTTGTATTTGTTGATGTTTCAAAAGTAACAGACTATGGTTTAATTGGGTTTAATTGAAATAAATGCTATGACTTTGACTTTGGTCACGTTTGTCCACTATCTCGCCAGGTGGTAAGCGATGTGTGACAGACGATAGTGCATTCTTACCAATAAGCAACCTATTTACTGGTGACTTGAAGACACCATACCCTACTGCTATACAAAATATCTTCTATATCTCTCTATATCTTTTGGACAAGAGATTCATGACTCCCTTGTTGGCCGAGTGGTCGCAAGTGCGACGGTGGCAAGGGGTCTCGTTCGATTTCCGGGTCGGGCAAAGTATGAATGGGTTTTTAAAAAAATCTCAGTTATAGCACGGAGTCTGGAATTGTGCCCGGTATATGGCAATAGGCCCTATTACATGGCACTCATAACATAAATAGTGAAAAGTGGGTGTTACATTGTACATTGTCATAATATGCACCTACCCATTCGGGGATAAAAGGCGTGATGTTATGTTATGTTATGCATGAATTTCTCTTTTCCAGAAACATACCAAAGTTCTGCGACATCAGAACGCTCAGCTAAATCCAAAAAAAGCAAACCAAAGCCCTCGTCTATCCTAACATCTACATCAGGGACTGATGTTGAGGAAAAAGTTTCAAAATTTGACAAAAATTTGATGAGAGCAGACAAATATATAACAGTTGAAACCGTTTACGATAGCCTTGGAAATCTTGTACAACTAAAGTTTCTGAACAACGTTGTTCCAATACCTGCAATGGTTATAAAAATGATCGGCCTTCTAATCCCATTTCAAAAGCACTTGACGAACATCACTATAAACAGTGGTATGCACGCAGACACGATTTATGAAATGTCGAAATACCTATCAAGTTCTAATATTACCGAACTATGCTTAGATGGTGCATTTATCCCTGAAGCCAATTATGATTTATTGCTAACGGAATGTCATTTGAAATATCTATCTTTATCCAAATGCAAAATAAACGACACAGTTGTGAAAACAATAGCAAATAAATTGTATTTTACCTTACCTGCATCAAATTCACTGTCAGCATTATCCTTGTCGACAAATAGAATCACTGATGTTGGTGCAAAATATCTAGCAGATGTACTGAGATCAAATAGAAAACTCAGCTATTTGAATTTAGCAGATAATATGATCGGCGATGAAGGTGCAATGAGCATTCTCGATGTTTTACAAAGTTTTCGTATAACTACTAATGAGTTAAAAGAATCGAGATCCAGATACATGAAATATTTAAAAATTAAAATTGAATTAGTGGCATCACTTATTACGGGACTGAATCAAACTGAAGTTAAGAAAGTCGTCAAGAAAAAGAATAATAAACCTGGGTTAAGGAGGAACAAGTCGTTGGATAGAGATATAACAACACCTAGGTCTAGTATGGATAGGGGCTCAATCATTGCTCATGAACAGTATTTGCGTGATCGAGCTCGATCTTTAGCCGAGTCTAAGTTAGGTGGTTTCCAGGATCCGTTCAGTTTAACGAACACGGAAGAGAAGGATGGTTGTTTTTACTGCTATGGCAATAACACCCTTAGTTACTTAAACATTGCTTACAACAATGTCAGTCATATCACTATAAAGAGATTATACGAAGTTTTGGTAACACAGAAATATTTAAATAGGAATCCTAAAGGTTTGGTAAATGTGGTTATTGAGGGTAACAACCTGCCTATGAATTGTGCGGAACTGCAAGGTATAAACGATATTATTTGGTCTAATTTGAGTAATATACAGAAAGCAACTAATGGAATGATGAAAAAGAAATCGGTTGCAAGAAAACCTAGTGGCAAGCCTTCAATTAACTCATAATTGCTGACATGTATACAATCTTTTTGGTTTCTTCTCCATGAGGTCTGAAATTATTATCAAGTTTTTTTTTACTTTGCTATTATTTATTATTATCATTTGTGCTTATTATTTTGTTTTTAGATTTAATTTATTTATTGATCTTTCTACGTTTATAGTGCATTTCGTTTTAGATTAGGTTATATTTTAATTTACGTTATGACTATTTAAGTTTAATAAAAATAAAATATTTATTTTTGTTGTTTAAATTAAGAACAATAAGTTGTTGTAAAATCATTCAAAATAATAATGAACAACAACCAGCAATGCACCGGTGACTCTTGTGGTGTTACGGGTGTCTATAGCCGGCGCTGATTGCTTACCATCAGGTGATACGTCAGTTTTTTGCCTCCTATTCTTGTATTTTTTATATCATATCGTTGGCAAAAAAGCGCATGGCCTACGTGATGGTAGGTGGTTATCGTGGCCTGTGAATGGTTGCAACACATGGGGCATAACATGCGCCTTGCCGACCCTATATAATAAAAACTCCCTTCCATAAATAAAAAATATTCCATCATCCACCTTGAAGGAAAAAGCTTTACTATAATCAATTTAAAAATGTTTGTAAATTTGGCTCAAAATATTATTACTGGTGAATTGGTGAAACAACGAAGACTCTTTTATGGGGCATACGCCTACCGAGAATACCCTAAGGGTCTTTAAGTTACTCATCTGAAAATGTTTTAATATTTGGGAGTAGCTTGCGGATCCAGACCTTGATCTAGGTAAAACACCCCATTTTCCATTCATAATACCATAGATTCTACGCCCATATTCAGCACTTTTTGATTTCCAATCCAGAATCCAAAAGACAGAAGATGACAATAACTTTCAAAAAGAAATTTCTAAATCTGACAACTGTCATTTACGGATCTATACGTATTAGAGTTTTCGATAATTTACATGGAGTTATTTTGATTGTTATAATATTATTGATATATTTTTGTAAGATTTAATAATGGATTATAGAAATAATTTTGAAGATGATACAAGAAAGCTATTGGAGAGTCCATCACCAGTCGACTTTGACGTATACCTACCGTGGGCCTGCAAACAACTGCTAATGGACGCTAATGTTGTTATCACTCGTACTTATCGAAGTTAGTGCACCTTGTGTAATGCCATATATTTCTTTTCAATTTTTAATCATCTTCGAGCAAGATATACAAGTCAAAGATTTCCACAGACACAGAAAGAAAGAATGAAAAACCATTTATTTTGCTACGACACACAACAAGAATCTAGAAACCCAAAAAATAGCCTATGGTGCGTCGTAGCGCAAAAGGCTGGAGCTCAGCTTAATACCGTGGACCGGGCACAGAGGCTCGAGCCCACGGCGCTGATTTTCAGCACCAGCCCGTTGTAGTGCGTACTAGTTACACCTACGGTAACACAGCAATATAAGTCAGCGCTGAGGCAAAAAAAAACAATATAAATTGATTTGTAGTCAGTACAGCGGCATGAAGTCAGCGCTGAATTCAAAATTCCCAAACGAATACTTATTAGCTTCAGCGCTGACTTGTTAATTTCAGGGTCAGCCACTGACCCTGGATAAATCTGCCTTGATGATGTCGAAAGCCGCTAGATGCAAGTCGTTTTCAATCTTGTTGAATAACGAGAGCGTTGGTTGGACTAGTAGAAGTTGAAGAACTTGAGGTGGTTTTTGTCCATTAGAATTCATAGTTGTACATAGGCTGATAATTAATTATATCTATGAACAGGTATGTACCAGACAGGCAGAGAGAATACAAAAACCAAAAGCAAATTTATACCCAAAATTCAGACTGAAGTCGATTCCAATGAAACTCTACCTCACAATTTAACATCTGACCTCAATGAAATCGATGGGCCCAGCGATGAAAAAACCGTTTACATTGAAACTGTGTATGATGAATACAACAAATTAGTTCGATTAAACTTCAATAAAAATAACACTATTAAAATACCGAGACTGACATTTAAAATAATTGGTCTTATACTGCATTTCCATACATCACTGTCTTCCATTGTCATTAGCAGTGGTGCACATGCAGCAGCGATTTACGAAATATCAAAATTTTTACCCAAATCTAATATAACTGAAATATGCCTCGACTGCACATACGTCCCTGAAGGGAACTACCATATACTATTAAAATATGTCAATTTAAAACATTTATCTTTGTCGAAATGTAACGTTAACGATGCTACTCTTCAACTAATTGCCTCTGAGTTATTACGAATGAACCCAACTCCTAAACTATGTGCACTTAATCTAGCAACGAACCAAATCACAGATGTCGGAGCAAAATGTTTAGCAGAAGTATTGCGACGCAATAGAAACATCGGCTACTTGAATTTATCTGATAACATGATAAGTGATGATGGAGCAATAAGTATTTTCAATATACTTATGGAATTCCCATTGACTCCTGAAGAAGCGGCTGAGAGAAGGAGTAGACTAATGGTTCGTTTAATAGAAAGAAACAACCTATTACAAAAAACGATAAAGAACATGCAAGAGGTTGGTGATTTGGCTGAAAAAAAGATGGCTAGACGAAAAACAATTAAACCGCCACTTACAAATGCATTGAAGAAGAAGATAGACTCTGAGAATACAATGACTAAGAGTATGGAAATGATATTGTATGAAAGAGCTGAGATTATCGTAGATAATTTAATGGGTCCAGGTAATGATCCGTTCAGTCCAGGTAATATTGAGTTGAGAGGGACAACAGTGTATTGTTTGGGTAATAATGTTTTAAGCTACTTGAATATAGCGTACAACAATCTATCTCATTTAAGCATTAAGAAACTTTGTGATGTGTTGAACCAGCAGAAGCTTCTCGCCAGAAGACCAAGAGGTTTAGTCAACGTTGTCATCGAAGGTAATTACTTGTCTGATAACAGCACGGAGTTGAAGTTCATTGATGATTCATTGGGAGCTATTTTATCTACATTTCGAAAAGCATCAACAACTGATTTCAAAAGGAAATCTATTAATCCTGGACTTAGTTCTAAATAAAATATGTCAAATCAAGCTTTTATGCAGCTTAGAAAGAACTGAACAACATCACATACTTTATGATGCTTCATACCCTCTTAGCTTCATAATATGTTTTCTGTTTGATTCACGTAAAATAATATAACCGGTAGAGGGCGCCCTAGACGGACATATACTGACCAGATTGGCGATATATTAAAGAAGGGCCGAATTATAAGTACCCTTAACCGACTAACTTGCATAAAAAGACTGATGACTGTTGATGAAGCGAAAGAGGTATTTAAAAATCGTAGCAATTGGCGTTCTATAGTCTCTGCTTATCCCATAGGAGGTAGGCGTGAGGTTACATAATTATGTACGTATTTTTATTGTAATGATATGCCACAAAGCTTCATAATCTTGCACCCGCTGATTAATTTCTCTGCATCATCTAGGGGTCAGACTAGTAGAAAATGCTGCGGCATTAAGTCCACCCATGTGCTTGTATGTGTGCATAAAGCATTTTAATAAAATAAAATAAATAAAACTGTTTTCCAACTAGGTAATAAAACTATTTAATAAAAAGATTTGCCTGTCAGAGTGAGTAAAAACGATTAGAGAATCAATTCAAAAGGATATTCGTGATATGAAAACCACAATGTAAAATTGCAATTCAACATCAAAATATAAAATTTTATCTAAAAATATCTTTAGATTATAATATTATAGTTTTTATATTATATAATTTAATAGTTTATAACCATTGTTAAGTTTATGTAACAATATTTAATATAATTTGAGATACAATTATGTCTTTAGATTAATTATTAATTTGTGTTTGTTTCTAGTTTAATTTTAGTTTCAATAAAGCCATTATTCTTTTAAATTCTTGTATTATTTAAATCAATCTTATAACGTGTAAGGAGAAACGAAGAAATAGCAATAAAAACGATTTTATGTTATAATTGCATTCATAGATGGTAGGTGTAAATAGATCGTGATACCATCTCCGGCTACCGTAAGCACGGGCCAGCAGACGGCAAGAACGGGTAACTCACCACCCGACCAGAACCAGACCCGAGCGTACGGCCCGTCGTCGTCAAAGAGCCATCAGACCACATCAGATGGGGCCCCATAGGGCTGATACCGATACGGAGCGGCGAAGGATATAACGGGTTGCCGGGGTTCTGGCTCGAAGTGCAGGAGTAGGAACGGAGTGGTTTTTAGACAGTAAGAATCTAACACTTCCTCTCGTCTCACCCGGGCAGGAGAAGTCATTGGCTGATAATCCCCCCTCAAAAAAAGGTGTTATAGAGAAAGTTGCAAACAGCCAACGACCACAACTCATCGATGTCTAAGGTGAGACGTCGATTGAAGAGCTGATAGAGTTTATTTTTTTATGGAATAACCGGTAAAAGAGCAGATGTATTACCTGATGCTAAGTAATTGGCTCCACTTAGTTCCACCCATGGACATCAGCAACACCACTGTTGTTCAGGTGCGTTACCTGCCTTTTGGGGATTAGGAATTTGAGGATAGTTGGAAATTCAAAGATTGGGAATAAATCAATAAAATCAATAGGGATAAATCATGGATAAATTAATAAAGTCAAAACAAAAGTTTTAATATCAGTTTCATATCAGTCCGCATACAATTACGAAACAGAAGTAGAAATAAAGAATAACAAAAATGACATAACGCTTTGAAAATGATGATTATTTTTTGACATAGCATGTCACACGGAACGTTTTTTGATAATTTACATTTTCTTCTAATAAATTAATTATTATTTGCAATGAGTTTCATAGATCCACATGTCGCCGAATGGACGGATCCACCCAAACCGATGCCTGATGACTTCGAAAATTTTGTACCCTGGGCCTGTAGCCAAATGCTTGTTGAAGCCAAAGTGGTGGTCACCAGATTTACACAAAGTAATTACCTAATATTAGGGGTAATCTTAGACTGTAGTTGGTATTGTGCTATAGGCATTTAATTGTGGAAACAATGACGTAACTGATAAAAACATAGTATTTGTAGTCTAATAATAGTGATGTATTTGTTTGTTACAGGTGAATATATAAGTGTAAAATCCACCCCAACTGGAAAAACAAAGAAATCAAAAGGACCAGCACACTTAAACAGCAGTACAGACACAGTTAATGAACAAAAATTTTCTACCATGCCAACAACGGACTCAGACTCTAAAATAGGCATTGACGCCATCTACGATACCAGTCACAACTTGGTTCAAATAAAATTCCTCAAAAACCAAACTATACCGAGAAAAGTATTCAAAATTATTGGTCTAATCATCCGCTTCCAAAAATATTTAAATTCTATTGTAATCAACAGTGGTCTGACATGCGAAATTATACACGAAATAGCTAAGATCCTACCTTTATCCCGAATCACAGAAATATGTCTCGATCATTCGTATATCAAGGAAGCCAATTACGATATTTTATTAGAGCAGGGCTCTATAAAACATCTCTCATTGGCAAGATGTAGAATAAACGACGTAATAGTAAAAAATATAGCTTCAAAACTATGTTATCAACAAAAAGCAGCAAAAACACTGATTGCTTTAAATTTAGCATCGAACCGTATTACAGATGTAGGTGCCCAATACTTAGCAGATGCATTAAGGTCTAATAGACAACTCAGTTATTTAAACTTATCAGATAATATGATAAATGATGAAGGAGCACTAAGTATATTTAATGTACTTATGGAGTTTCCACTAACGAGTTTGGAAGACCACAGCAGAAAAACAAGACTTATGATCTATTTGCACAGGAAACTAGATTTAATCATCAAAAAAACGAAAGAAGTGAGAGCATCTGAAGATAAGAAAAACTTAAAAAGGAGAGTGACTAAACCTATAGTGATGGCAAAAAAGAAGAATTCGGAAAAGGATAATAATTCTGGTACTGGGACATCCCAGCATATAAGGAGTATACCGAACATTGAACCACTGTTCAGTGATAAAGCGGCAAATATTGTGGAAGATATGATTGGCCCATTTGTTGATCCATTCGATGATTCGAGTATTTTTGTTAAGCATCATAAAGTTTACTGTTACGGTAATAATGTTCTATGCCATTTAAATATGGCGTATAACAATCTCTCTTATAACAGTGTTAAAAAACTTCGTAATGTTGTAATGTCACAACACGTACACGGTAGAAAGCCTAAAGGTCTTATCAATGTGAGGCTCGAAGGAAATTATTTGCCGATATCCTGTAAAGAATTGACAGAAATTGATGACATGCTTGAATCAGGTCTTTTACAGACTAAAAGACCTTCTGAAAGCAAGAAGAGAGTGTCCAAGGTAGGCAGTGCTAAAAGCACGGGTATTTTTTGAAATACTATTATTATTTAATCATAATGTTTTATTACAAACTTATAATATGATTATGTTTAGGGAATTGGCAATTGTAGTTTACTTTGACTTAAATTAAAAATTGTCATTGTTAAATTATTAATTATTGATTTTCGAATAATTGATAGTGATATTGTAGAAGTGATTTCTATAGAACTGTAATTTAGAAATATCTATTTTAATGTTTAAATACTTAAATGAAATACATAATTATATTTTATAATTATATTTTAGATTTACTTACTTATAATCAGATTAAATTAAATACATTAATTTAGATATTATACTTACTTATAGTTTTAGATATAATTTCTATTGTAATAGCAGTACTTTTTTAACTAATAAAAATTGATGTACAGAGTGTTGCACTGTGTGTTTTTTCATGGATTTACAATTGTGCCCAGTGTTTTTTTTATGGAATAGGAGGCAAACGAGCAGACGGATCACCTGATGGTAAGCAATCAGCCATCGGTGTGTGACAATAGACTCACCTTCTATTTTTCCCTTTGACTTATAATACTTAACTCTTCGCATAAATACTGCAACTTTTTATTTTTATTTGACTACTCCACAGCTGACTTTTTTCTAAATTATATTTCTGAATTAGGTATATAGTAATACTAGTTACTTCCGCGCGGTTTCACACGCTCTGCTCAGCTCCTATTGGTCGTAACGTGATGTTTTATAGCCTATAGCCATCCTCGATAAATACGCTATCCAATACAAAAAGAATTATCGAAATCAGACTTGTAGTTACGGACATTAGCGCGTTCAAACAAACAAATAAAAAAACAAACTCTTTAGCTTTATAATATTAGTATAGATTAGTGAATTGTTCAAATGAAATTTAGTATTTATAATATTGTAAGCCACAGGACGTCTACTGCTGAACATAGGCCTCCCCCAATGACTTCCAGATAGGCCGGTTGAAAACGACCTGGATCCAGCAGCTCCCTGCGACCTTAATCAAGTCGTCTGCCAACCTTGCGAGTAGACGTCAAATATTCAGTGTGTAAAAACACGGAAATGACACTAATACATCATTGAGACGTATTTGGGCAATGTACCTATTGTTAGGAAGTACCTAACAATGGCTAAAACCTATAAACATTAAATAAATATATTATCAAAATACCATAAAAAAATGTAACAAGCATACGGCGCACACTATACCACAAATCAGTGTGCTAGCGAAATAGCGCGGCGTAAGTGCGGGGGTGGGGGGTGCGGGCGGAGGTCGCGCGTCGATATTCTCGCTCGGAAGCCATCTTAAAATATAAGTGCCCCCCGCGCACCCCCTCGCCTCCTTAGACGCTCGGTTTTTCAAACTCCGCCGGTGAACGTCGCGGGGTCGTCAACATTTTGTCGAGTTTTGTTTTCTGTTGTAGGTGTTTTTGGTTGAGATATGTTGTTGTATGGTTCGTGTAGTCGTGTTTATTCAGTGACAGTAAGTAGTAACGTTAATTTATGTGGTGTTTTAAATATATAATAATTATACAATAGGTAATTGAATGTTAAAAGTTAAAGTAATTAAGTAGGTACACATTATTTATTAATTTATAGCCAAAATAAAAACATTTTAAAATATTTAACATTGATTACAATATAGTCTACAATACACAACTGGCTTCACGGTTGGCGCGGTGACTGGGCAACCGGCTGCCACGCAACGTGTAGCGGGTTTCATTCCCGCACGGAGCAACTGTTTGTGTGATCCACAAATTGTTGTTTCGGGTCTGGGTGTCATGTGTGAACTTGTAGGTTTGTAAACACATCCACGATACAGGAGAAAATCCTAGTGTGGAGCAACGTATATAAAAAAAACATAACTTTCTTCGGTTAAACTTCACAAAACTTTAAATAGTTGTATAGTTTAACAAATTAATGTACATATTTGTAGAGCCCACTACTTGTTCTATTAATATCTTATTGTAATCCCAACGACGATACTGTTAGGCTAAATTTAGCTGATACATAAAAGTCGTGAAAAGTTTTTTTTACGGGCAAAACAAAGGATACATGCATGATTATCTCTAAAGCACAAGTAACTGAAATAAAAAAAATATGTAGAAGTTAGATTTAATTGGATCATTACAACAGTTTATTGATTAAAAATATTTTTATAATTTGTATCTATTACCCATGACTTCACCTCTAGGACTCAAAAGAAAAATTAATCTTTATCATTTTCAATACCCAAAAACCATAACATAGAAAAAACTTAATTGTAATGAAAAGACAAACAATTTCATATAACATTTGTTAAGATTACAAACATTTAAAATTACATTTGTAATTCCTGAAAGAGATTATCAAAACACAATTTATTTACTACATTTCAATTCGATTCAACACAAAAGAATGTAAAAAAATCACCAAGCCCATTCCTCAACCGAGAAATCGAACCTTTGTACTTAACAGTCGCACTTGTGGTCAATCGACCAACATAACAAGATAAACTTAAAATCGAAATCTTAACACTATATACAAATTCAAAGTACCATAAAATAACCATAAAATCAATTAATATCCTTCTAAACCAAAGTTAATTGTGCAATAAAATACAGCACAATAATTCAGTCTATAACAAATTGTCCATTTGTACCTGTCGAATGGTATTCTCCAATGTCAGATACAGAATATAAACTATAACAGTAAATAAAGCCGTCCTCTTAAATGTATACTATACCCCATTAAACAAGAAATTGTCGTAATATCATCACTAAACTAGAAAGACATTTTCAAAGTTATAGAAACTTCACATTTGAAAGCAGTCAGTTAGAAACTTTTATAACTATAATACTACTCTAATACACATCTTTAAGATCATAAACTTGCTAACTCCACCGTACAAGCTGAATCAATACGGTATTAACACACACATTTGTATCTTACACCCACTGACGCAATGCAAAAACTATTGAAATGAAAATATAAGCTCACACTTACATCTTCACTCACACAGAGACAACTCGCAGGTGTATACATGAGCCGCGGAGGTCCTCCCTCCCACTCCTCGCCCCGTTCCGTGCGCCTTAGACGTTGGCTTTTTACATGAGTATAAGCAGTCGAACAGAGGCTGAAAACATTTTGCGGGGCGCGTTTTCTTGTTGTTTTCCAGTGTTTTTTTTTATTAATTTTTTATTTCCCTTTTTAAATCGTTTTACAGAAGGTAAACCTCGATTTTAATTCGTATGAATTGGAAAAAGAAAAGTTTGAAAAATATAATTCTATGTGAGACCAAAATCAAGTTTCAAATGTTCATACTATCACACAAAAAGTACTTTTAGACTAAAAAAAGCACCAACAAAAAGATACTTCCAAGACGATATCTATACAATCTTCACCCTTCACCAAAAAACCAGTTTTTTTCTACAATCCGTATCTTAATTTTTATTTGTACGTCTGAACCATCCCTTTATAACGCGACAGGTTTTGAAAAAACCAGGGACTTTGGACAACCCTGTGGGAATTTCAGTATAAAATTGTATCTTTTGAACATTTCTTGACCAACCTGTCCTGATACAGCAATCTAGTTTATTGGAACCAGTTCAATTGAAGTTTATTTTATCTGAATTAGGGTTAAATTTTGTTAATCCAGTTTTTCAGATTTGGGGTCATGGGAATTCTAGGGTTATGAGAAAATTTTGGTGAATAGGTTCGAAGATTTTTAGGTTTTCTTGTATGACTAGTTTTGATCTTGTCTTGCGATTTTATGATAATAATATATTCTCACGATTCATTTATAAAATGGTCACCGTATTGTATTTTACGATTAATTAAGTTTTTTCTATTTATTTTATTTTATACCCTTATCATTAATTAGCTATAATCATTAATTACTCTAATCATTAATTAGATCAGAAATCGCATCAATAATTCCGAAAGAGTTTCAGACAAAAGATACAGAGAAACATATTTGTAACACTCAACCAATGTATTTAGTATTTATAGATTACTTGAAAAAAAAATCTACAGCAAAAACTGTGTAGTAGTCATTGTTACTTATAAAAATCATCAACATACAAAAAATACAGTCTTTTTCATCTCATCTCAAAAACTCTTACAATTAAATCAAAATTTAATAGGTCAGCTTTTTAAATGCAAATTCCCACGAAAGTATAAGGCAAACTAGTTTTTTATTGAGACATTTCAAGAGTCCATCGCATTGTCATCTATGAGAACTTGTCATGTCAACCTGTTTTCTAAGAAATTGGGGTGCCACAGGTGAATTCTGGACTTTTGAATAATGTATTTTTTATAACAATAGTTACCTATTTCTATTCGTAGTTAGAAGTGGTGTGAGTAACCTGTCAGTATTAATTTTGTAGTTCACAGTGTAGGATCAAGTTAGTGAAAGAAGTATCAAGGACTATTTTTGGTCCCAAATGTGTGTTATTTAAGTGGTAGTTTAATATGAAAATTTTGTAGTGAAACAGTGTGATATTATAGCGAATCAGTGATGTTCGGAAAAGCTGGAAAATATTTGTAACTGTGCTTATCGTAAAACATTAGTGAAATTTTCCACTATTGTGAAATTAACTTAGGATATTGAAGTAAGTAATATTTTTTATGGTTTTTTGTTGTGACACATTAGCTTACATTATTCGTGTAATAGTTGCAATCACACTAATGGAATGCTTTTATAAATAAATTATTATATCATCCCACGCCATAGCATCCCATGAAAACAAAAACCCAGATTACCCAACAAGTTAAAATTCATACGCGTCTCATATTATGAAAACAACGCAATACCCTAATTAGGCATTTAATTATAAATCCACCATGAATTCTTAACTGACTAGACATATTAAAATTTCACTTCCCTCGTCCTAACTACGCCTATACCGTATCGCGGGGCCCCATCTCCGCTGTCTTTCTAAGGGGACCGCATAAAATAGTTATAGAGGGTAGGGGGAGCTACTTAACCGTTTTTAGGAGACACCCCGCCCGACGCAGAAACACCCCGCTACTTCAAC